CACACACACACACACACACACACACACACACACTCACACACACACAGAGCTGCGATGCTGTGGTGTATCAGGAAGTACTAGGGGCCCCCAAGCCAGTGACCTGTTGATCCACCCCACAACATGCTATGGCAAATTGTCCAGCTCTGGTTATGGCGCTAGAGATCCCTCCATCTGTGCGGCAATAAGAGGTCCACATTTTCCCCTTTTCTTGTGTTCTGACAGCATTCTTCTTCTTGTTTTCTAAGTTCTACAGGAGATGTATGCATTGTGAGTCTCCACCTGAAGGTATATTCTAAACAAGCAAGGCCAAGGGTTTTGTTACTCTCTCTCATCATTCAACACACACTTCACTATCAATCTGCCTCACCTCCTAATGCAACAGAAGGCTCTCACGATCAATCCGTAAGCTCACCAATAGACTGGAGCACCAGGCCGCAAGGTACTAGGGGGGTATGCTCTTACCATCCTGCCTAGTACCCTGGGCCGGTTTCCCCCCCAAAAAAATAAAAAAATAAAAAAATCCGTAAGCTACCAAGCGGTCTTTGCCTCACACTGGGTATCAATCTGTAAGCTACCGATCGGTCCTTGCCTCAGAATGGGTGACCCTTGCTGGAAAGTTCCAAGGTGTCCCACCGTGCTGCTATCCAATGCTGTATTGGTCTCTGGGGTAGATTGTATTGAGATCGCAAGGGTGCGATGGCATGCCGCTCGCTGCGCGTCCATCCATATTGTGCATGGGGGGCAATCACAAACAGTGAAGTTAAATGAAAGTTGAACATGGAATATGACAAGGGGTGGCATTTATCAAACCACCAGTACTTTCCTCGACGGTTTATTCAAAACGGGCCCAGATATGGGCTGGCGACCTTCATGGGTTGGCGCTGCTTCTGCAGGCTGTTGATGAATTTTGGGAATGACCTGCAGAAGTACTAGTCCCAACCACCCCCAAAAGCTCTGGCACATTTATGGCCGCGTTGGAACACAATTGGCCATAGAAAAGTACTGGTGGGTTAATTTGATAATGCAGCGAGGAAGAAACACAGCGAACGAGAAGATGCGCCGCCAACACCGTCTGCAATATCTACCAACTTATCAAGAAGGAGTTTTGAAGAGAGAGGGTTTGCAAAATGGAAGAGGGACAGAATTATGCTAGTAGAGCCAGCCTTCGTGAAACATTGAAGAACCCGATCGTGCTGTATCTGTAACCTGATACACGATCCTGCACGAGTAGTTAGTTGGCAGAGCATTGGGCTTTAAAGTTTAAACCGAATGGTCACAGATTACCCACAAGTGTATATGATGGAATTGGTAGACATGCATGTTCTAGAGGATTAGTAGAGAGATGGAATTGGTAGAATGCATGTTCTAGAGGATCAGTAAAGATGGAATTGGTAGACATGCATGTTCTAGAGGATCAGTAGAGATCGAGCCTGACTCGGTGGCACAGGCCAGGGCACAGAAAGGTCCGCGGTGCGGACTGTTAAATAAAGAATCTCGAAATCCTTGAAATCACACCTGGGGTTAAAGCACCAGTACATGCCAGCTGTCGGCCACGGGCCCCTTTCGGAGGCCGTCGACCACCGATTCATTTTATCTACGGCGCTCGGCCTTCTAAATTTTTGGAGAGGCGCAAAACAGGTTCTCCAGTTGCCTGGGGCCATGCATTGGTGGTTCAAACCACTGCGTTTGCAAAATATGCAATATGGTGGACAAAGGCCTGGGCCTAATGTGTGATTGAGTGAGTAGATGTTATGCCATTCACCTACCATGTATAAAAGCTCAAAATGGTCAAGTGCAATCAGACTCACTTTCTTCTTCGCTTCGCATGCATACAAACAGATGGTGACTCACACTGGCGCATAGCGCCCAACTCAAAGCTCAGAGATATGGAAACCAAGAACACAGTTCCGATGCAGCTTCAACAGGCTATGGTGCACCAGCACCTATACATCCCAACTCTCGTCACTGTGTCCAACACCACTCTTCGCTCACACTTCATCTCTGGATCACCCTGGATATCCCACACGCAAACCACTGTACACTCGCACACTCGCACACGCCACTCTCTCTCCTATCAGCTATGGCGGCTATGGCCGCTGCCTGCCCTATCGCTATGGCTAAGCTTCCTTTTCGCCCACTTCGTCTTCGGGCCTACTGCAGACCACCTCGCACAAGTCACTGTAGCAGCGCTTTGGCATGGCTTACACAGGAATCAATGAATGGCTGGGCGCTGCCTCTTGATTTATGCTTCTGGAACTCGTTGGTCTGCCCCTCTCCACCAGGCCTATGGTGGACACAGTCCCTCATGGTACTTGCGTGACTGGACTGGGACTGCTGGACCGGTACCGCTGACTGCATGGGTTTGCACTGCCGACTCAATGCAGTCGCACTGCCCACGTAATGCAGCTGGGCTCACCACTTGCCCACTTGCCTCTGACTAAAACGTGAGGCAGCTTCGGAAAAGGCCACGTCCGGACCTTCCAGAAGTCTGTGGACTTGGCCTTTCGAGTACTGTAGCAGCTACGACCTTGACCTTTCAGGACTGTAGCAGCTACAACCTTGACCTTTCAGGATTCCTACAGCTACGACCTCTACAGGGCTGTGACTCCTACTTGACAGATCTACAGATCGAACCCCTACCATTACACAGACCTACGACAGACAACAACAACTCTCAAAACACAGGTCACGTGTTCAAACACTTGGGGTCGACACTGATACTGTACACAGGTAAAGTGAGGACTAGGGATCTGGCCCCGGGACCCGCATCCGCTACTGCTAACAGGTGAATACGTTTCATCAAGCATGACCTGGGCTATATTGTGGGTTTGATTATATGTTACGGCGCGCTTCCCCCTCGTCCCTGCGGCCTACAACGGCCGCAGCAGCATCAGGAAACAGTTTTTCTGGTTACAGAGCATGACTCACAGGCCGCCTCGCCTTCTCGCCCTTTTCCATCTCCGTGTCCTCGTCCTCCCTTTCTCTGAAGTGAAATGTGTTTCATTCAGTTTGTGTCCATATGGTGTTTTTGGACTGGGCGTCCGTTAAAGGCCGGCACAGTTAACAGGATAAAGACAGCTGTTACGCGACCTGAGGAACTGTTAGGGACACCCCCCCCCCCCCCCGCGGTGTCCCGCCATCCTAGAGGTTACCCTGCTGCGTGACTGGGTGCTGCTAGCAAGCCTCCCGAGCAGCAGGGCAAACCCCTAAGGAAGGCCACGGACTCGGGAAGGGAAGCTCTGTAACAGTCCCCCCCTTGCCAGGCGGCTAGTGCCACAAGGGATAGCCTGATCTTCTTTCTCGTCCTTTCCTCGCCTCATCTCTTGGATTTAAAAATATGCTTGCCGAACTTGCCGGTAAGAAGCAACCGGACTGTTGCCCCCCCTAGAATAGAATAGAAGGGGCATGGTTTGTTTTAAAATAATGATAATAATAGTAATAATAATAAATAAATAAAATAAAGGTCGTCACTGTATGATTCGGCCACTATCCAGGTACACAAAGGTGATTCTTGTCTTCCTGTGAAAGACAAAAGAAACCATCTGTCGCTGCCTCACGAAAGAGACCATCTGCCTCTCCCGGAACATTCTGTCCACGATGTGGGGCAGCGAGGAAGATCACAGTAGAGAGGGGAGAGCAAAACCATCCTTCTGATTGGAATACAGCAGTATGCACATCTTCATTATGAAAGATATCACCTGGACCTTCCCCAACATTCTGTCCTGGCGGCGGAAATGGACACATAAGAGGGAAAGAAGCAGGATAGCAAATGGGGAGCAAAATGAGCACATGGTAGAAAAGGGAGAGCAGAACGTCGTTTTGGATATGAAGAAAAGGCACTGCCGTCCTGTAGAGCAGTCAGGCCGGGAGTGGGTGGGGCAGGGGCCAGAGGATGCCTTATCCTTTGGGTTCCCTAGACACCAGGTGATAGCACGTGAGAGGTCGTCCGCCTGCACCCCAGGCAGTGGTGGCTGCCCGGCTCTTGCATTCGCCAGTTTGCAGCTGGGAGCAGGGGGGCACTCGCAGAGTGAAAATTAAGGACAATGGATTGAGCGTGCAGTGCCGTGCACCATTGCCTGCGTTCCTACTTGCCCTGTTTTGGTATTTGGAGTCTTTTTATACCTTTACCACGCGAGTTTTCGCTGCGACCAATTGTGTTGAAGCCTTGAAGGGGCAAATGGGGGGACCACCATGGCAAAGCTGCAAATCTGTTAGACGTCACCCTGTCATCCACCCCATTTGTGGATCTGATAGCGCGACATGGGTACAAACCAATCTCGCTGACACCGAAGTGGTGTATTCAAGCACCCGGCAGCGAGAACCCACTGACAAGCGGTTCGAATATTCTGTTCACTGTGTGCTGCAATGTGTCCATGGATATTGGGGGACCCTGCGGATTATCCTCCCTGGGAAGGAAAATGAAAACCTTATTACCCCCTGCCATTCCTTAGTGCTGGTGATGGGGGTTCAAAATGATCGATTCGGTCCAGTGTGTGCCACGACGTATAATTCTCTCTGGGCAGGAAAAAAAACCCCTTAGGACCACC